GAAGAAAAAGCTTGCATGATGCCAGTACCTCAGCCATGGCAGTGGTGTAAGCTTCTGAAAGAAAACAGAAACCAGAAGTACCCTATTTCCTTCTCCAGAAGGTCCAGTCTTGGCTCTGCTGACTTTGAGGGCTCTACCATTTTTACTTGGCATGCCAAGAAAAGTCAAATGTACCAAATCCTATTAAAACAAACAAAAAAACCCCAAAAACCTCAAGTCAAGTGCTACAGCTGGAGCAAATGCAAAGAGACATGCAGTCGGTGAAGCTGTGATCACTGGTATTATCCTGTTTGTGAAACGCTTTGTATTTTGTGGCCCCTGGAAAATCCAAAATACATGGGAGAGCAGGAAAATTAAAATGGAGCACAACAGGGCATGCGAAGCATGCTGCTCCACACACAGTATTAATTCTGCGGGCCAAGCAGTGGCTGTAGACATCTCTTGATGATCAGCATGTGCGTTTTTGATGACATTTATTTGTGGGAAGTATGTAAGTCTATTCTGCTACCATCTGTCCAGCCTGTCTGAAAAATTAAGGCGGCTCACCTACCAGCATCTTTGATGCAGTATTAAGCAACTCCAAGAGGTCAGTTTTTTAAATGCAGATAATTTGGTGCTTAAAGCCTGAAATATTCCCATAAAACAAATTCATAATTGTTTAACCATTTGTCTTCATTTGTTGTTTAAGCAAGCAAGGTTTGTAGCTCATGGGAAGGCATCTGGAGCAGCGAGATTTAGCTGATTACTGTGTATTCAGATGAACTGTGTATATTATGCGTAGTGGTCCCTTGACCGGTGTTGGGTGCTTTTTTTTTTTTTACCTTAAGTCCAATCAATCCTACACTGGTGACTTTTCATTAGCTGCTCCTGCTCTCACAGTAATGATTGGGATGCAGAGCCTGATGGCAGTCTGTAACTTCTCCCGGTGCCCTGAAGCTCAACAACGTAAGCTGATTGACTCAGTTAGGGCCCCAGTCTCTAACAGCAAATGCAATCAATAAATCTTTGTTGGTAAATAATTGCTATTGAACAGAGTTTTAATATAAATTTATGAGTGGTGTTTTATCACAGCTTGAGGCTACAGCAAGCCACTGAGTGATGGATTTCAGATAACACTTACATTCATTACATTAACTTTGTAAGTTATTTAAAGCTTGTACACTTAACATTGCTTTTGGCTTGCAATGACCTCCTGGGACTAGACGTAGCATACACATTACTAATAAAGAGCTCGCAGTATGTGCAGACGGTTCCTCCGTTTGCTCTGTATGGTGACGCAGTTCCTCGAGCAAAACCTGAGAAGTGAAGTTCGTGCACTCCGGTTGAAGTCTTTTTCCTGTGGCTCATTAGAAGTACAAGCTAGCGCAGTCTGGTAGGAGAAGCGTTCCTCCGTTAGACGCAGAATTGCAATTTTGGAGGGAAGGCGGTAAAAAAAACCCTTAATTTGAAGTGTAAAATTCTTCTCAGTTTGTGAGCAATTGGAGGTGTTAAATTCTTAGTGTTGAATCTGGAGGCTTTGCATCAGCTACACCGAACTGCAGGGCTAAAATTGCAAGTGGAAGACTGTAACAATGAAAGATTTCATACAAATCATGAGAAATAATATTATCCAATTAATAATAATTTGAGGCAGAGATTATTTTGACAAAAAAAAAAAAATTGGTATTTTGAAGTAGAAGTTGATTTACCTAGTCCCTTACTGCATAGCTTGGAGACTAAATGTGATTTTTGTGATGTGCTGTGTGTACGTGGGGTCTGTTTGGCTGTGACTGGAGATGTGCCCAAGCTACCTCTAAATTGCCTCGGAGGTACCAAAGGTCAGTGGGAACCCATGTATCTCGTTTCCTAGGCAGACTATCTGATGTGACTTAAATGTAGACATCATGTGACTGAAGTGAAGGGCTTTTTCTTTTTTTTTAAAGTAACATTTCTTGTCATATCTGGGCCTCTTTTTTTTTTTTTTTAAGTTTAGTAATGTTAGAGTGCATTTATAACTGATCTAAACTCAGATACTAAGAGCGTTTTTCCAGACCATTCTATATAATTACCACAGACAAAGTGGTGGTCCCTGGC